GGCGAGAGGAGAGACTGCAATTGTGCCTGATCCTATAGGAAGTCACAAAGACACACAGATATGGAAGAATGGCTCCTTGTGCCTTCCCACCTTAGCACACTCCTGGGAGGGCAGGCACAATCTTTCCCCCCCCTTGGAGAGCTTGGGTTACTTGCTTTGTGAGAAAAGACCCTGTCCTTGGCCAGGAAGATAAATGAGTTACAACTGGGGGAGTTATTCACGTTTAATGCACAGTAGGAAGCAATTGGATAGCAAGAAGATACCGGACATCTTCATTCTGGTCTTCTCTTCATAAGAAAGTCCCCATAGCAATGTAAAAAGGCTTGAATCCCAGGTGCTTTGGTCTCCCCTGCACATCAGCGTCGTTTGCCGGGAATATTTATTTAGTAAACGCTCAGTACCAAGGTTCCTTTATTCCGTGTATATTAACACCCAAACCTGACATCCCCTTTGCGACGGCAGTGCTGCCGCAGGGGCAGCTTAGGCAGATGTTAGAGACCCAGCAGAGAGCCCAGCTATGATGATATTACAAGGGATTCGGTCCATTCGGATTGCTAGCCAGTATTGCAAATAAGTAAGAACAACATTTTAAATCCTCTTTCCCCCTTTATGATTCTAAGCATGTTATAACATGCTTCCTAGTCCTGCACAGCTGGGTGGGTTTATATCATGTGCTTTAGAACCACATGGAACGTCATAAGAGCTTCCACATTAGGACCTGGTTCAGCAAAGCATTTAAATACACGGCTACACCCCACACTGAATACAATGTACAAACTAAGCACACACTCACATGCAGTGCTGAATAGGAGTGGACAGCTGCAAAGACAAGGCTTTGGGTCAGGCCCTGATTGCCACTTATCAAACTCCGATTCCCTCTGCCAAGGCCCAGGGCTGATCCAGGGCACTTGGGACCCAGATCCATTAGCTCGGTCCTGACTGCCAGGACTCCGCGGGCGGGGAGGGAAGAGGGATGCGCTACTAATGCCCTGTCCACCAGCCCACAGGAGCAGGATGTTGTAGATTGGAAGATGAGGCACAAATTTTTCAAAAGAGGCCTCTGATTTTGCGTCTCTCTCTTTTTGGGTGCCGAGTTCGGGACAGCTCAGGCCTGACTTTCAGAGGAGCTGAGCCACCTGCATCTCCCATTGACTTCACTGTCATAGAAGGTGAGTGGAAAAAGCAAGATGAGAACCAGGATCTCCTACTGCCTAGTTCTCTGCTCTAGCCACTAGGCAATACCTCCCTTCTTTCTCTGATACACTAATGCAGCAAAAATGTCAATGCCAGGTTCATACAGGATATTCTGTTCATTTATAAAAGGAACTTTCATTTAAGAACTCAGCCAATCTCCTTTTATCCTCCCAAAGGAACTCATTTTACATGTCCCTCCATACTGACCCCCAATAGCCATTGTAGGGCTTTTTAAAAATACACTGAGAAGCATCTTGCAGCTGCCAGGCTCCATTAGGGAATCAGTTTGTGTCACCCCAGGTGCTCCTTGGGAGACAATGAGATCCAAACAGGCTATCCCTGAAATTTACACCAAACCTACTTGCTTTATCTAAATTACTGAGTTTATCTTAGACGCTCCTGAGAGCCTAATTAACTACATGTCAGCACCAGGCACTGGCAGGAAAGCCTTAACTCCTTGGAACACAGACACCAGTTCCTTCTATAGCTCACGGCACCCTTCCTGTTTCATTGACTTGTCAATTGTCGTTACATCAACTCAGGGCAACCCCTGATGTTATTGACTCTCGACATGCTGGCAGTGGTGAAAGAGCCTGTGTGGCTCCCGTTTCGGTTGGTGGCTCTTAGAGGTTACAGCTGCTTTTAGATAATTTTCAATTGCTAAAGAAGATATGACAGCAGCGGGCCTTTGAGTCTCCTAGGGAGGATGTCCAATTAGCTTGCTTTAAGGAGTCCCACAAGTATTGCAGAGAGAACTGCTCCTTGGCCGCGCAGTGGGCCAGCGACAGCACAAGCATGCAGGCAATCGGTGTTCATGCCCCATTCCCTTCTCCTCAGGCAGGCAGAGGCTGTGGAAGTGCAAGGCCAGCCCCACGCCAGGGGTTTGCGCACCCGTGAAGCTACATCCAGCAGGACACGGATGCAAAGAGCAAGCATCTAAGAACCTGCTGAGTTTCCCCCTGGAGCAAGGAGAAGAAATGCCTCATACAAGGGACTGCAGAGGTAAATGAGAAGAATTAGTCTATATCCCATAGACTCCAAACTCTTGCATCACACCACCTTCCTCTCTCTCTCTCACACACACACACACACACACACACACACACACACACACACACACAC